CTTTGTCGATTAACAAAAAAAAAAGAGGAAGAGGATTTAGACATTAGGGTTTTAATTTTTTTTTTAAATGTAAAAGCCTAATTATTACAAAAGGTATAATTAGAATTTTAAGTGGGTTAAATGTTAGTTACTATATTTTTTTAATATAATGTTAGATCATAAATTATAGGTGAGAAGACTAATGTACACGCTAATTTTCCTTTTTTCAAAATATAATATGTTTTGACAATCTTATGTATTTTTTTTAATTTTATTGAATATTGTGTGACCACTAATATTTTGCAATCTCTTTTTGATTGGTTAAATTATGTTTATTATATATATTAAATGATATTTAAAAAATAGTTTCTTAAACTCCGCGCTTTTAACCAAAACATCTTACATTTTGAAACGGATGAAGAATATTTGTTTAAGAATTGTTGTTATGGTTAAAAATAAAATAATGGGTTCAAACAAGGCAAAAATGTTTTCTTTTGGTATTTGCTGCGAAAACATTATAAATTTATTTTGATTAATTTCTTTAGAATTCCATAAAATTTTTTTTTTTCATTTATTCTAATTATTCAACGGGATTAAGTTATTATGTTACTCAACTAATATGTTAGATTATGGGAGAAATTGCAAAAATACCATTTTTATATGCACATTTGCAAAAATGCCACTTAGGGGTGTTCATTTGCTTTACAAAAATACCACTAATTATAGATTTTAAACCCTATATCTTAAAATTCTAAACACTAAAACATGTTTTGACCCATAAACTCCCCTAAACCCTCGTATAACTAAACCATAATAGAACATAATTAATATCCAAACATAAATAATATAAAGAAAAATAATTTTGAAAAAGTGACATTTTTGTAAAGATTTCAAAAGTGTTGCATTTTTGTAAAGTGACATTTGAAAAGTGGCATTTTTTGAATTTTCTCTAGATTATGTCAAGTTCAACCAGATTTTGCAATTACCATTTGAATTATTAGTACTCTGTCATATTTCGCAACAAATCATCAATAAATTATGTCAGATTCCGTATTTATCATGACTCCGTAGTTACCATTTACACCCAAAGTCTTATTTATTATACATCTGTCTTTGTCTCTATGAGGTTACATATATAAATACATTTTATTGCTCTCAATATGTAAATTATTTTCAAGCTTGCAAGTAAATTAAAAAGGGAATTTAAGAAGAAAAGATTTGTATCATCTCTCTTTAACGTCTACGGCCTCGGATGCCACGCGGTGGATCATGTCTACCGTTAGCTGTAGGCGGGCCGTAGTCGTTGGTGCTCACCATCAGTGACCGTTCTCTCACCACCGTCATTTCATTTTCTGAAATACGCACATTTTATTGTTCATACATTACAAGTTAGAAAATAGTGATAACTACATGCTTGCTGTATATATATATGAACATCTTATTAATAACAAGTAAAATATCTAGACTTCTATTTGTTTGAAATTATGTAGAGTTGTTGACAGAATCTATTTTCTGTTTCAAAAAACTATCGTTTATATTGTTTAGCATAAAAAAAAAAAACTATCGTTTATACGAACACTTATTTATCTGCTAAACGAACCAGATGTAAGTAAAACAAATTCGACTTTTGTGTGTTTTTGGATATTGGTTTTCTAAAAAAAATCGAAATCTTTGCTTGGATCTTTCACAGATGCGATGGACTAATTAAGATACATTTCAACTTGCTGTTTTATGCAATAAATATATATCTGTCAGATTTGATTAAATAGTCGTTAGTATGACCTGTCCTTGTTCTTTTCTTGTAATGTCAACGCTCTTGAAGTGTGAACATAAATTTAAATATTAAGCCTTATATTGTTCAATATTTTTTATTTGATAAATACAATGGTATGGTTTACTTTGCAGAAAGAACTCATATAGTATATTGTTATTAAACATCAAATATTATAGTTTATAATTTTATGTGACCAACTTTCTTACTGGGATTCGTGGGTATCACAAGATGTTTATCTTTTTAAAAGAAATATATGTCATCGGCGAAAGGGAAGACAATCTCAAGCGTCGTGTTTCAGGTTCGCTTGATTTCAATATAAAGAGAGAAATTATAGACAACCAAGCTGGAAACATAGTACATAAAACTAAGATATATGCAACTTGTTTTAAATATATATACATTATATATTTCAACTCTTTTTTTTTATAAACCGTGAGAGTTCTGAACTTTAGGTTCATAATCTCCTCGGTATCCGAGATAATTTTTAGATATTTTAATTTAAATAATAACTCTCCATCCCAAAAGATATTTGAACCCGGAACACAAGAAAACCAACTATTTGTGTTACCACTAGACCACCACTATTTGGTTATATTTCAACTTATTCATGACTTCTCGTTTCAATTTACTTTACTTTCATATTTTTCCATATGACACACTACTGTACTGTATATAGAAGTGAAATCCTTTGTTTTTTTTTTTTATAAATAGAAGTGAATATTTATTTGCATATTGGAAAAGATGATAGCACTAATTGAAATTTGAAAATATTTGGCATGTCGGAAAGAATTAGAACTTCATTTCGAAAAATAATTGAAAAACAATATTTTAGCCAATTAATATTTCTAATAAAGTTCGCTTACAGAACAAAAACCGACTAACACAAATTAACTATCAATCTATGGATTTACATGTTATTTATATATTTTCTTTGTTTCAGAATGTAAGATGTTTAGGCTAAACATGTACAGTTTTAAAAAAATATCTCATTTAAAACAATTCAACTAATCATGAAATAGATTGTAGAATACAATTTTTCATAAATTAATAAATCATTTTGTAATTTGCAAAGAAATTCAAAAACATCTTATATTATAAAACCGATAGAGTACTATTTATAATCTGTTTGTGCGATCAATTAGTTTTTCTTGTTGTTTTGGTGATATTCTTGAACAATCTTTTATGATACACACAGTTTTACTTAAGGATCATGTGAATACCACCACATCACCAGCCAATAAATGTGGTTGACAAACATCAAGTACTAGTAAATTAACGGAAAACACAGATTATGAGATTCACCATGTAATAGAGAAAATTCTGATGAGATGTTTAACGAATATGGATTATGATGAGGTAATTAATACATACATTAACATAAAGAAAAGTATCAGGAAACGAAAAATAGAGAAAATAAATGAAGAAAAGTACCGGGAAAGACAAGATTGAGGCGAGCAGAAGAGACCAAAGCAAATGTGAAGAAGACGAACAAACATAACCTAAATGCTGATGATGAATAACCCATTCTTTCTTTAT